AAAAAATATAACGATTTTGTGGTTTGTCATTCTTTAATGGCTCACGAAGTTGCGTAGTGGTGCGATAATTTTCATGCGTTTTTTCTACAGTTTTGTGATTCTTTTTAAAAGTTTAGAGAAAACGCAGGAAAATGTTCGCACCACCTTAAAATTTCGTCAGTCATTAAATAATGACAAAACGCAAAAACGTTATATTTTTTCACGTCAATTTCATCATAAGTTTGCCAGGAAAATTGAAAAAACGTGAATTTTGGCAGAAAGGGTGTAGAACATCCTTAAACTCAGGTACCAGTCTATTATGTTGAATACTGATTCATATTGATTCATGCTCCCGACTAACTTCTAACAGAGCCTGGGTTAAACTCTGGCGAAATCCTGAATAAACCCTTGATTGAACCTCGATTAAACCCGAACTGAAAACGAATTGGAGTCTCGAGAGGGTCTGAATGTAGAATTATTTGACAGAACGAAATAATGCACAAAATTTTGATGACATTTCAATTGATGATCGCACTGTGACATGAAAAAATAGAAGAAGAGAAGAGTGAAATAAGAATTAAAATGAAGAGAACCCATTCGGAAGGAAATTGCTAATTTATTAGCAACAACAACTGCACTCATTCATTAAAAAATGCAATTATCCACTTATTTAACGACGCACATGATATTGTTCACTAAATTCCTAACCTTTAGGATTCCGTTGTGAGTCGATTCCATCGTTGTCATCCTCCCAGGCACTAACCTGCATCCTCTCACTTTGAGGCAGACTCATGAACTTGTCACGAATCTTCTCGAGATCCTGGATTTCGTCGTTCTCCTCGTCGGAAGACATTTCGTTGGTATTTCAATGCGAGTTTATGTTGTGACAGCTATAGGTATGTAAAGTCGGAGCACCAGCACGTGCGCCGGTGGTGGGAGAAGGAAACGCCGAGTGAACCGGATCCATGAGGCATGGAGAAGAGAAATAACGCTCCATTTTAAAATGGTGGAGTTTTTTAATTCGTTCAGGGCGAGATGAATGGAATAAAAATTTTCTCTTGAATCATTACACCGAGGAATATTTTATTTCTAATTTTGGAATGATTATGTATTCTTTTTATGAATTATTAATGGATAATATAATGAGTAGGTGAGTAAATAAGTTGATAAAATAAACATAGCAGTGGAGTTAAACATAAATAACGTAATAAACATAATTTACAATAAAATTTAAAGTATGTTTATTATTGAGTCATTTAGATAGATTAGGTAGTCCAGAGATTTTTAGAATATAAGCAATACGAATAACACTTAATATTAAGGTATGAGTATTACTTTGAACTGATGATTTTATTAATTTCATTATTACACTTTATGTCTATTTAATTTTAATCCTGTAATTGGCCGCAGGCTGTTGGGTCTCTGTGAAATGAAAATTAAATCAGAGTGAAATGAGAATGAAATGAAAATTAAATGGAGATGAAATACAAATGAAATAAATTATTCTCAACATTCGATCGTCTCTTATTTTCAATCCCCACTAATTCCCTCTTCATCATAACATTATTCTTCAAACCAGAACCTATGGAGTGCACAAAATTACACGAAGCCGTCGAGAGAATGGGTTACACTGGCGTCTGCATCGGTGCCGAAAGAGCGCAACTCCTGAGGAACTCCCTATTGATACTCCAAAAAGAAAACCACTTTCGAAAGATGTATTACTGGGGTAGAATAAATGGCATCGGGAGCGATTACCACATTGCGTTTGGTTATGCAAAAGATTGTTTAAAGGACCGAACCTTTTTCTACAGGTACAATTGCAAAATTAATTACTCATCTGCATATTCTGTTCAACGACTTTTCTCTCTCATTACTTGAATAGTTTAGATGGTTTGGAGTGGTTATTACTGCCAAAATCAACGAAATGCGGAAAATTCTTGGCACCTCTAGCCACAACCCTATTCGATGGAAATCCATCGATCGTGACGAACGTTTACAGTAAAAATCCGGCATTTCCACCGGACGAAGACGCTGAAGAATTCTATCAAGTACGATTGACAATTTTCTTTTCATTGGTGAAATAAAATACACGGAGAGAATTTTATTAGGGAAAACGTCAATTTTTCCCCGCACGGAGAGAAATTTCAATAAAAATTACGTATCTTTTCCGTAATTCGGAAGGGAAATGTGGTTGTAGGAAATTTTACGGAATTGTCACGGAATTTTTCCGCAGCGTTCCGTAATTTTTATCTGAATCTCTTGTGAAAAATTACGATATCGTCACTTAAGGGTGCCAAGTGAATTTGAAAAAAGATTTAAAAAAAATTTTTTCTTTCCCTCCATCATTGGAGAAATATGTATTCATCCATCCGACAAAATTTCAAACCCGCAACCGGAACTAGACATCGAGAAAATAAATGCGAAAAATCCTCTATTTCGCGTGACGAACCTCGAGAAAGCATGGGATCAAATGGGTACGGCGGGTTGAAATATCTCTGTTATTCACCCCGGTACCCCATTGTTTTTTGTCGCCATCGCATTGAACACATCATTCCCCATATCTTCAAATTTTTTCAAATTTTTCTTGAGTTCCTAGGGGGTTGAAACGTTCAATTTAATCAAAACTCCATAAGAGGCCGTGTATAAGACTGATTTTGTTTATTTAATTTCTCGATATCCATAAGTTCTAAAATTTTAAAATTGTCACCGATGTTCACCATCTGTCTAATACTATTAATTAAAAAAATTATAACTTTGTTGGTGAATGTCAATTTTCAAGGTCATCGCCAAATTCACTTGGCACCCTTAAATTTTCTGAGTCGATTCCGTAATCGGTGAGCGAAGTGAGAGTTCCGTAATTTTTACTGAACATTTCTCTCCGTGCGTATTTCTGTGAAAATTTCATAGAAATCGCCAGAAATTTAACCTTAACGCGGTGGATTGTGATTTTTTCGAGTGCTCGTACTAGAATTTTTCTAGAAAACTTCTCTCCGTGTGTTCACCCTGAGAAAAAAAAATATTTTCGCCAAATATCCATTTACTTGAGAGAAGTATTTATTTTTTCAATGCCGGATTTCTCCAGCCGAGTCATTCTCAGGCAATCCTCATTAGGGGTCAATTATGACAATTATATTGCTCCAGAAGATGAGCATGTTAATTATGACCTTGAGTGAACTCCCTCAATAAGTATCAACATTAAAAAATTAATCGAAATTCTTCCCTCTAGAAAATAAGAAATTCAGGAAAAATGAATAATCATTCGAGGAGTTCATCCAAGGTTAAACGCAACATAGTCATCCTCTAGAGCAACATAATTGCCATAATTGAAACCTAATCAGACTCGCCTGGGAAGGACTCAATAGGAGAAATACGATTTTGAAAAAATAAATGCTTCTCTCAAGTAAACGAATATTTGGCAGAAATAATTTTTTTTCTCAGTGCAATACAAGGAAAATCTTATCGCAGGGTCCAGTGCCTCAATTTTTGAAAGAGGAAGACCGTCTGTCCGCAGTCGTTGAATTTATAACCGAAGACTGTCAAATAATCCCTCGAGGCGCGTGGTACAAACATCCGGACGGCTCGATAACCGACAATATGGCGTTTCAAGGTCTAAATCCTATCGAAGCCCTGGACCAAAAATCGTACCTTCACGCGCGCTTCCCCAGGGAGAAATGGACGGCAAATCTTGTGATTAGAGATGATTACAACTACTCGTTGGACTTCCTAGACCCCATTTCCACTGATGTCCCGAAAGGTGCGATGAAACTCGTGAAATTCTCATTAGAGCAGGAAATAATCAACTTATTCTCGTGTTTCATGCCTCGTTATGACCCCAGAGTGTTGGAACGTCCAAAGATATCTCGCCTCTCGCCTGGTGATCCTGCAAAACCTTTATTGGCCCGGCATGACATTCTATCACATCCCGGAATCACCTCATTATGGCTCTTTATACCTTGGAAATGGCATCAAGAATCTAAATATACCATTTATGGTCTAGTCATTTAATGGATGTCAAATAAACCCCAAAGACAATTTCCGGGGAAGTAACAATTGAACAATTGCATTTTTTTGTTACTAATAAATTAACAATATTTTTCCGAACGGGTTCTCTTTTTTTTTAACTCTCATTTCACTATTCTCTTCTTCTATTTCTTCATGTCATGGTAGTATCCTCTGAAATGTCATCAAAATTTTGCGTATTATTTCGTTCTGTCAAATAATCCTACATTCATGACAAAATTCAAGAAATTTAATTGGTAAGAAAATTATAAGAAAAATTCTCATAAAAATGCAGAAAAGAAATCCCGTGCATTTCCGAAAAATGGGAAACTTAGATTTGAGCGATTACATGGCTTCCATTCGGAAGCAAAAAAAAACAGCGATTGAACATCTAAATGCTTGACATCAGCCTCCATGTCACGGGTGTGAATAACGAGATCTAGGCATGATCGTAAATAGAATCGATCAGTAAATAGATCGAGCCATCTATCGTTCTCTCTTTTCCACGGGGTAATGGACGCTGCGATTGTCGGCGATATATTTGGGATTGATGTACAAGTGAGATGGACAGATTTAAAGGGGTGTATGATTGTCTTTGGCAGAGATTATCGTGACACCGTTTTCATCAGCGAGTGAAGCGCCACACAAGCTGTATCGACTCGGTGATCCATCTCAGTGCATCAATTGATTTAGTTTCGTGGTGTTCAGAGAACAATTGGTCCCATGCGATAAAAAAAAGGGGTCAATAAAAGGGTGAATTTGGAATTTGAGAAATTGGCAATTGACGTTTATCGATGGTCAATAAATCCATCGAGCGCATATTCTCGGCTAGATGTTGATTAATAAAATTCAACTGGCAAGTATATCTTCAATTTCCCCTTCTCTTCACTGGTGCATATGGATATATTAGGTTGAGGTCGACTGAGATAACATCAAGGCAGCGATGAGCTGTCGTCTTCCGTGTTTGCGAAAGTATTTTCATAGCCAAATGAACCGTCCCCGGTCGATGACCAACCAATTTATCATAGATTTATTTTTAACGTCATAGATTTATTTTCAATTACGTAATCGAGGGGAGAATTGAGTGGAGGAGTCGAGAGGATTTGATCTATTTTCAATTTATTGAGCCACACTATTTCGAATGGTTCCGGATTTTTTTTCCCTGAAAAGTGTTTTTCTTACCGTGAAAAAAAACCGTGACAAATTTCCACAACTCAACTGATCTGATTAAAAATTAAATCGCATTGAATTAAAATTATTGTATTTAAAACGAATTAGTTAAACAATCGCGAATAAAAAAAAGATGATTTTTGTCATAAACTTTTTCAGTTTTTCCTTCTAAGAGAAAAAACAATTCAATTAGAATTTTTTGAAAAAAACTCGAAGTAAAATCCCATTCCCAAGAATTCGCCGAGGAAAAATGTCCGGGAATTTTTCAATGGCCCTCATTTTACAAATTGAGAATTGTTTATTTAGGATTAATTTTTTTTTTAATGAAGGATTACGTAATTAATTTCGTGGCTCATAATTACAACAACAACGATAATTTTAGATGTAGAAGAGATGTCGCTGCTCAACCTAAAATTTACAAAATTCGATAACACACCATGGGGCTTTCGACTGGTGGGTGGCAGTGATTTTCCCCAACCCCTGACGGTCATAAGAGTAAGTTAAAAGCCCACTTAATCCATCAGCAATTGCCGCGGAAATATTTCAAGGCCACGTCTTTTCAGGTAGCGGAGGGAAGTCTCGCGGAATGCATGGGTCTGAAAGTTGGTGATGTTGTTGTGCGACTAAATGACGATCCCGTAAGCAAACTGACGCACGGCGAAGCCCACGAGTCCCTAGTGCAAGCGGGAAATAATTTCACTCTCGTGGTTCACAGGTAAATCACTGAACGAACGACAATGGTCGACAATTTTCTAACGAATTAAAGAGACACTTAGTGGTTTTGCAAGTGCCTTGTTTACCTTGTATTGAGACACAAATACAAAGGCGAATAAACAAGTTTTTAATGGATGAGACAGATGCTATATATTTCAACAAAATAAATAACAAAGATAGCTGTGGCTTTGTACCTTGAAACGTCCGGCCTTGACCGTAAATATTCAGCTTGGCCAATTAGACACAAGATCCAACGAGCGCACAGCCAATAATTACATTTAATAACTCACGTCGAGTATTGACCACTTTAGTTCAATCATTGTGGCCAATCGATCAGGATTGTTGGTGATTAACTTGTTGTGAATGATTTTTACTCTCTACTGAAAAATTTCCATTGTCGTTTAGAGGCGAGGAGGCTCGTCAGGTGGCAGAGGCCATTCAGGAGGAAAATATCGTACCTTATAAACCTGTGAGTGTTTCCCATTGCGAAAATAGTGATAATTGCGTAGATTAATGAAGCCATTGGGTCTAGTAACTATTGATCTGCTGTAACTATATGAAAATTTACTGGAAAATATCCAAAATCACTGGGTTAATAAATGATTCATTGAACCAACGTGTTATTTATTTTAATCATTTTGTTGTTAAACTACTCTGATGTAATGGTTACTAAACTCGATAGAAATTACAACAGAATCTCTTGATTTCTTTTTGCCTCCCCTTCACGTATGAGAAAATTTAATAGAAAAACATGGCGAATTCAGTAGAAATTTTTATTGGAATTCTCTAGAAATTTTATTGCGATTCTTCTAAAATTCTAGGGAATCGAAATTTTTTTTTAAAAAATCCAAAAAATGGAAAAATCGAAATCCATTGATTTTATCGTATCAAATGTCTATTAGAATCTCCGCAAAAATCAAATAGAATTTCAACAAGAATTCCCTACAATTTTAATAGAACCCCCACTGAATTTTCTGTCGAATTCGCTAAGATTTTCTATTGATTAATTTTTTTCACACGTGTCCATAATCAATTATCACGCAGATTGATGAAGTTCAAGCATTGAAAGCACTCGTTGACGATCTGAGGGATCCAGAAGACCTACCGCCACTGGATGGCCCATCCCTAGAATTTAAATCCGATGACGAAGAGGCGAGAAAGTGGGAATCGCCTGAATTGCAACAAGAGCCCCCCAAAATCGAGGAGATTAAGGAGCCGTCACCTCCACCCACAGCCAAAGATCCGAACGTTGAGCTTGTGCCAAATAAAGATCTAACTGAAGAAGAAATTGCGGAGTTAATTGTTGAAGAGGAGGAATTACTCGAGGTTGAAGATAAATCTGTTCTTGGGTAAGTCCCTGTGCTTACCAATCAAAATTTTTCTCTATTTATTTATTTCAGTAGCGAAGCGGTAAACCGGGTTAAGTCGATTTTTCCTTTTGGCCATTTTTTGATGAATATCTCGGAATCTAAGAGAGATAGCAAAATTTTGCTCATGACCTTTTTTGTAACCCTCAGTTGGCTCTACAAAAAAGGTTATGACAACAATTTTTGTATCTCTTTTAGATTCCGAGATATTCGTCAAAAACTGGTCAACAGTTAAAATCGACTTGACCCGGTTTACCGCTTCGCTCCTGATTTATTTATTTATTTATTCATTCATTCATCTACCCATTTATTTATTTATTTATTGTATGCAAATCACCGATTTGCCGGAAGTCATGGAAATCATTTTGGAAATCAATTCCATTCAAAAATGATTGTCACTCAATAAAAATTCCCAATTGCAGGGTAAATTTCAACAAAATTCGTCCGCGTGCCCCTCTTCTACGCGAGTCTAAGGTTCTGGAGGAGCTCCAGAAGATCGCGGTGGAGGAGCCCGCGAGGATTCAAGAGCTGAAACACCAGACAACATTTCTCCAGAAGCCGGAGAGGCCTATTCCATCTCCAAAAAAGAAAGAGGAGGAAAATCAGAATCAGTCCGAGGGCTACAGAGTTGTAATAAAAAAGCAACCGAAGAAGAGTGTGACAGAGAAGCTGGCCCAGCGAGGGCTATTAAAAACCCCGGAGCCTTGTAATAAAGATCAATCGAGCGAGCCAGCAGTAACACCAGAAACTCGTGAAATGTCTCGACCAGAGTCATCAGCCTCTGGCCCGCGAATCGTGGAAATTCCAATTGAAGTTGAGGGCCGGCCTTCGTCGAAGGCCTCGAGTCATCCTCGCAGTGATGCGCCAAGTGATGATGAGAAATGTCCATCGCGTTGCGAAAGCTATCGCGAACCGACGCCCGAGCCCGAGCCCGAGCCCCAGCCGCTAGCGCCAATTTTTGACAAGGAGAAGGTCAAGGCACTCGTCTCGACTGAAATCAATTTGGAGAAGCAATTGGAAAGCGTTCAGAATCAATTGCTCGCATTGAAACAACTTCCCAGTGAGATTGAAAATCATCTGAGAATTGTTTCTGAACAGTTGCACAAAATTATGGAGCTCAGTGGAGTGCAGAATAGTGAGAGCAGTTCGCGAAGAGGGTCGTCAGGTATTTAAGCATTTCTTATTGGGTTTCGATTTCTTCGTCGGGCAGACGACGATTTCCAGGAATCGCGAGGAATTCTTCTTTCCGGTTTTTTTGTGGGGGAGAAATTGCATTTTATTGTGAATAAGCAATTCGCTTCGGAATGGGTTCGCTTTTTTTAATCCTTATTTCACTGGTCTCTTCTTCTATTTTTTCATGTCATCAACATTTTCCGTATTATTTTGTTCTGTCAAACAATTCTACATTCAGACCCTCTCAAGACTCGAATTCGTTTTCAGCCCGGGTTTAATCGAGGTTCAATCAAGGTTTAATCAGTGTATAGCCGGGATTTAATCAGCATTTATTCAGGATTTAGCCAACATAATAGACTCGTATCTGAATTTAACAGAGATAGAGATTTTTTATATAAAAAGCTCATGACGGTATTGTATAACATGATAAGCAATGATGCTGTTCTCACCATTTTTCAACTTGATTAAGAAGCCATTGAAATATATTTTTCAAGCCCTGATTTAATTGCTATTACTGATTATTCTTTCAGTAATAATGAAAAAACCGATTTTCTCTTTCAAATCGCATAAACATTGTGCGGTAACTCAACGAATTGTGTGAACCCCATCATATTCTGATAGAAGAGGGTATTGTTATCAATTTTTTGAGCCATGACCAATTCCGTTTTAATGACAATTTTTTGAGTGATCGTTGAAAAATCGATTTTTGGAAAAATATAAATTTTTTCGAATCTGTATAAAAATAGTATATTGTGGTACAAGTGCGTAAAGAACCACTTTTTCGCACGCACGCGTAACACATCCTATTTTTTGTAATACCTGCCGAGATTACTGTTCGGAACCGTAGTGGGGGTAAAGTGGTTGCTTCTGTGCACGGTGTGCGTAAAACAACCACTTTACACACACTAAACGGTTTCGAAAAGTGAACTTTTGAGGCAGGTATTACAAAAAATGTTAAAATAGTATATTTCGTAACGAGTGCGGAATAGTACATTACGTGCCCGAGCCTTTGAAAACAGATCACCGTCCCCCACATGCAAGATTGCCTTCCGAGCCGAAGGCTTTTCCATGGCGAGGTGTGTATATTAATTTTCGTGTCGAGGGGCCTAAAAAACGCCAATTTCGTGGCGCGCAGCGCCACGCAAATGGGGTTTTTCAGGTTCCGTGACACGAAAAAGAGTTTTTCCACGTATAGTTTTCCCACGAGTATCAAACGATATTTTTCATCACAATGTGTCGAAAAGGGACGTTTCGCGTGCCTAAAAAATTATTTTTTCGCACAGCGTGATGAAAATGTTAAAATTGAATTTTATTTTAATCGGTGTCAATGAATAGAGTTTATTAAAGTAATTCATAAAATTCAATCGATCCCTCATAAGAAAATTTCGAAAAAAATGAAAAAGTGAAGAAGAAAAATAAAAAATTAGAAATTTAAATTTCTCCTGGGAAAATGGGGTTTTTCAGGTTCCGTGACACGAAAAAGAGTCTTTCGTCTAAGAGTCGTTCTCGCCTTCGGCTCGTGCTATAAACCTCCCACGAGCCAAAAAACACTTTTCCCACGAGTATCAAACGATATTTTTCATCACAATGTGTCGAAAAGGGACGTTTCGCGTGCCTAAAAAATTATTTTTTCGCACTGTGTGATGAAAATGTTAAAATTGAATTTTATTTTAATCGGTGTCAATGAATAGAGTTTATTAAAGTAATTCATAAAATTCAATCGATCCCTCATAAGAAAATTTCGAAAAAAATGAAAAAGTGAAGAAGAAAAATAAAAAATTAGAAATTTAAATTTCTCCTCAGTAAAAAAATTCCGTCCGCATGGCCCAATGGCCCTCGACTGTAATGAAATAGTATATTTCGTTACGAGTGCGAAAAAGAGTTTTTTGGGTCGTGGAATTATATCCCTCGCCTTCGGCTCGTGCTATAAACCTCCCACGAGCCAAAAAACACTTTTCCCACGAGTATCGAACGATATTTTTCATCACAATGTGTGGAAAAGGGACGTTTTAGGCACGCGAACCGTGCCTAAAAAGTTACTTTTTCGCACAGCGTGATGAAAAATATTTTTTAATGTCACACAGACGCTCCCAGCCAGACAGCTCCAAAAGAGGAGAGAGCGACTCCCGAGGAGTGCAAAAACGAAGATGAGGATCATCTTCGTGTGTCGGAGTCCGAGGTGTCCAGGTCGTCTCCAGCGACTGTTATCAGTGAGGCACCATCAATCATCGAGCCCGAATCGGAAATGGAGCAAGTGGGGGAGTCGGAAACAAGTGAGATGGAGGTCACCCTCAAGGATGATGAGCACAGGGTGAAGAAGTACATTGCGTCGTACGAAACGAAGGTCTTCAGGTCACGCGACCCGAGTCCTGCTCCTTCACACGGTGAGATTAATCTACTGATCGTTTATCACTATAATTTCACTAAAAATCAGAGGTGCGAGCGAATGATCAGCACTTGATCTCATGATATTGATTCGTTATTTGTTGGGGAAAAAAATTAGGGAGTTACGAACCAGATCCAAACATGTCGCCGAAAGACCAAGTTATACAGGAATTGAAGGTACCAAGGCCGTTGCCCCAACAGTATCTAAAAAAGACTGACCTCGTCACAAATTTACGTTGCATCCCCAGGAATGTCCATCTGTCGTCTCTAATTCACCGAGAATTATGATTTCACTATAATTTTCTCGAATATACTGTTGTTTTTTTCAGCATGATTGCACATCTGGCATAGGCCGTTGCTCACAATTTCAATCTGACTCACAAAAATAAGAAACTCCTCGTGATATTCCACTCGTTCATTCCCTACACATGTCTCATGTCGATTGACTCTGATATCTTCCTCCCCACATAAATGATAATGCATGTAATCGTGATCCTGTCATAGATTATATAAAACCTTTCCAACACTCCCTGACATGACAAACGTGTTGGGAGTGAAAAATTATGGAAAAATAATCCAGAGAGTGAAATAATTCTGTGATTGACAAGCAATTAAAGTGATCGTTCGATCCGGCAGCACAGAGGAGGAAGAAAGCGATCGCACGATCTCTGGCCCCAGGCTAAACAGCTGGAGCTCACTTATGGCCGAAGATGGAGGTGTCCGAATGATTTTTTCAATGATGAAATGATAGCTGAGGTATTGTCGGGACAGGCGGAAGTCATTCGGGGCAAAGCACTTGGGTAACTATCGCATTTATCTGTTGTGTATTTTTTTTATAGAAAATTTTTTCTCTTCATTTTGACAAAACTGAAAAACTTTGCCCTAAATTAAGAACAAGAGGACAATGGAATTTTTTTTTTATGAGAATAGTTATTGTTAATGATAAATTAACGATTTGCCTCCGAATGGGTTTTATTTTTTAAAAGTCATCAAAATTTTGAGTGTCATTTCGTTCTGTTAAATAATTCTACATTTAAACGCTCTCAAGACTCGAATTCGTTTTCAGTCCGGGTTTAATCAAGGTTCAATCAAGGTTTAATCAGTGTATAGCCGGGATTTAATCAGGGTTTATTCAGGTTTTAGCCAGAGTTTAACCCAGGTTCTGTCAGAAGTTAGTTGGGATCATGAATCAATATGAATAAGTATTCAACACAATAGACTGGTACCTGAATTTAACAGAGATAGAGATTTTTATATAAAAAGTTCATGACGGTATTGTGTAACTTGATAAGCAATGATGCTGTTCTCACCATTTTTCAACTCGATTAAGAAGCCATTGAAATATACTTTTCAAGCCCTCATTTAAGGATATCCAAGTACTTTGGCTATTTTTTTTCCAGTGAAATACTTTTCTACTTTTGTAGTCGAGCCTCACAGCTTTCATTTGAGCCCCAATTGACCCTAAGTTTCCGGACATTTTACAAAGATTTTATTATTTAAACTTTGCAGGTCTGAATTTGAATCTTGATATTGAACTGTTAGAAAAAATTATAAAAATCTGAAGAAATTTTAGAAAGTTTACTTTTGGAGGAAGATTGTTGAAATAATTAAAAATTTGCAATTTTTGAAAATTATGAGCTTTATCTATAAATAATTTATAAACAATCAATTTTCTACCATAAAAATCATTTGTTCGGAATCGTAACAAATTTATTCATATTCAGAATTTTACCATAAATCGATTTCATGCCTAAAAAAGGTTTCCGAAAGTTTAAACAATTTTAATTATTTATTTATAAACAACGAATTGTGCGACCCCCATCATATTCTGATAGAATCAAGAGGGTATTGTAATCAATTTTCTGAGCCATGGCTAATTCCATTTTAATGACAATTTTTGAGTGACGTAGAAAAATTGAATTTTAATTGGTCCCAATGAATTTCGAAAAAAATGGAGAAAAAAGACCACTTGTTTTGGTGAAGTTGATGGAGAAAATTATTCTATTGAAAACAAGAATGAAAAAATAATGAGGATATCACCCACTCATCATTCGTTTCAGCGTTAATTTTAAAAAATACGAGAAAGCCTGGCTACCGAATTACGATCACTTAATGAACTCGAGTGTATACAAGATGCTGCATAAGATGGAACGCGAGCCAAAAACTGGAATTCCCGCTCGGCCACCCAAGGTCGTTGCTGCTGAAGACATACTCGAGAGAGTTGTAAGTTTTAAACGATAGTATTTTGCCCTTATCTGCACGCTACCCACTCCACTGATAATTATCGATAATAATAATCGAAAAAAAGGTATTACAATAAAGACAGTGAATGCAACGTTGTTCCATTCTAGAAAACACCGGCCTGAGTCAACAAACGGATGATTGCGAGCGGAGAAAATCATCACGAAGATATTTCAGCCGTCAATATCTTACAGTCGATTAATTTTCATGAATCCTATTTATACGTTAATTTAAGATATTAATGGAAACAACAAGGGAATATCGATGCAATGAATTAATGAGTGAATTCTCCAATGACTCATGCAAGGGATGAGTATGTGAAAATTTCTTTTGTAATATTTGATTCAATCTGTTGTAATCTAAAGAACAAGTGAAATAAAGTGGAATATGTTGATGTTATGCGAGTTTATTCATTCAGTCTGACCCATAAAACGGAATGATTAATTACTGAGGAAAATGTATAAATTATTTCATTTTATTGAATTGAATACGATTTCTTTTCAATTAATTTCGTCAGATTTTTTATTTATGTAATGTCATCATCATCATTATTCTTATTATCGCCTTCTTCTATACAACCGATTGTCTTTTTTACGGTTCTAGCTCTCCTCTCGGCCCTTCGATAAAATGTTAATAGAAACATTTTATTTACACACACTTGAATGAATTTGAAACATCACGTTTGAAGAAACCATCAGAGCGCTCACCTTCAGGGGAATTGATGAAAAATTCGAAATTTTCAACAATCATCATAAAAATCAAATCAACCAATCTAGCTATCGTACTCATCTTTTAACTTCGACTTAATGGCATTGAAACAAACATTTTAAGCTATGATTAAATTCATTTGAAGCGTGATATTCAAAGATATCCCCGGAATTCTGATTTTCAAAAAATACAAAATTTTTGAAAACTTTCAAATAAATCAAAATAAAGATTATTGCTATCGCCTTCACCTTCGAACTCAGTCAGAAGGACATTCAAATAAATTTCTTAACTCATCATTCAATCAATTGAAAACATTTTTTTTAGTTATCGCGGGACAACCGATTTTCGAAAAAATTCGAAAATTAAAAAACTAACCGATGAATTAAATTCTAAGTAATGACGATCGATAGGGCTCAACAATTCCTACTTTGAAAAAATTCAATTCCATCCATTCATCAGCGTACAATTGAAAAAAAAATACAACAATGAGGAATAATTCAGTAGTGAAGTGGTAAACGGAGATAAGTCGACTCATCTCCCAGTTGAGTTTTTGAGGAATATTTCCGAATCTACGGGAGATAGCGAAATTTTTGTAATTACATTTGTTGTAGCACTCAATCAGCTCCACAAAAAAGGTTACAACAAAAATTTTGCTATCTTCCTTAGATTCCGAGATATTGATTGAAAACTGGTCAATAGTCAAAATTGTTTATCTCCTTTTACCACTTCGCTACTGAATTAATTTTACCATTAATTTTTATCGATTCGTTATTATCAGGTGTCACAGAATGTTCTCCTGACCATCTTCTCGATAACTCACCTGATGACACAGCCCTCTCCCCCCCCCCGTCCCCCCTCGGAATGCCGCTGATGACGAATGAAAAATCTCGCGGCGACCCAAATGATGTATCAACACGGTAACCAGTGGTTGAGTCACACACACGCTCTGTCCGATCCCACCATCCCGGCGGGTGTATTCCACTCTCAAAACTCCAAACCAACTCTATCTTTCTCCATGCGCCTCTAGGCATACACCAAGAGGAGAGCGTGACGTAGACTCAAAACAATTTATGTAAAGTATTCTAGGCATGATTCACGAACTAGTTCGCGCACTCGTGACTGCCACGGGCGCATTATAATGCAGTTTAATCTTTAATCAAAATATTTTACCCCCACTTGGGGGTATGCACTGTATCATCACGTGAGCAAATTGCTCTTAGCTAATTAATTATTGTGAATGCACAGATTGCCGGAACATTCGTTGACTTGTGGTATTAAATCCTACGTCGCGTGTGTTAAAATTCTCTGACGTAACAAAAGGAGAGTTCAACGAGAAAAAATACACGCAATTTAATTGTGGGAGAAAAATTTGAAAAAAATTATGAATATTTTTATCCATAATTCATTCTTTATTATTATTATTTATCATTATGAAAATTATGAATATTTTTTTAAACATTCATTGTTTATAAATAAATAATTAAAATTGTTTAGATTTAAATCGAAATCTTCATTTTTTAGGCATAAAATCAATTTCTTTATAAATTATTTATAAAAAATGCTTGTAATTTTGAAGAATTGCATTTTTTAAATTATTCTATAAATCTCTCTTCAAAAGTAAACTATTAAAATTTTTTTTAAGATTGTTAAAATGTTTCTAACGGTTCAAATTCAGGCCTGTATAGTTTAAATGAAAAAATCATGAATTGTGGGAGAAAAATTTGAAAAAAATTATGAATATAATTTTTTTTGAACATTCATTGTTTATAAATAAATAATTGAAATTGTTCAAACTTTCGAAAACTTCATTTTTGAGGGGTAAAATCGATTTCTTTATAAATTATTTATAAAAAATGTTCGTAATTTTAAAAAATTGCCCTTTTTAAATTATTTCATCAATCTTCCCCCAAAAGTAAACTTTTTAATTTTTTTTTAATTGTTAAAATGTTTCTAACAGTTTAATATCAAGATTAAAATTCAGACCTGTATAGTTTAAAGAATAAAATCACTGCAAAATGTCCAGAAACTTGGCATTTCACTGGAAAAAAAATAGCCAAAGTACTTGCACATCCTGAAAGCTCCAAGACTTTTGAAAATAGTAATTGTTGGGGGATAGGTAGCCTACGGGCTGCGCCTTGTTTTGATGATGATGCTTCCGCATCTTGCGCCAGGTGTTACTATTCATTGCTTCCCACCCGTTGTGCCTCGCATAATTCATTCTCCTGCATACCCCTCACATAATTAAACAAACAAAGTGGAATGAGAGAAACTAGAGAGGTAACGCTTGCACTGCTCACGTGTGCGAGGGAAAGTTGGCTATTTCCCTCAGCCAAGAGCAAACATCAAAAACTGTGGAGAAAAGAGATTACGAATTTTTTTTCGAAATGAGGAAAGACCTTGCGACGAGGTCGGAGCACTCGAGGAGGGTACGCTGTATGAGCTGCGTCTCTCACGTTTGAAGCACAAAGTGAGACGGATGGAACTCGAGAAGATTGGAAAGCCAGTGAAAGGGAAAAGAGAAAAGGAAGAAAAGAGACAACTGTAAACCTTGTACTGCGCCTTGTTTATCTTATTTTTCGCTTGCAACTGCGATGGAACATGTGCTTCGGGGGATTAATTTTCTTATTCACAACATTTTTATTCGGGTTTTAAAACAATATTTCGAGGCTATTCCCGTGCCTAAAGAAGAAAAAAACGAAAGAAAATGTTTTTTGAAGCCAAGTCATCATTTTAAAAAAACCGTCCTGATTTACAATAAAATGAAATAATAATGTGTTATCACCAGAGATTGATGCGTTAATTCTTGCAATCAGTATCAACGGGTTTTGGGTGTTTGAAAAAATGTCTTTTCAGTTTGCGTAAATGTGAAAAAAGCACACAAAATACGGAGAAAGAAATTTGTTTCCCTTGAGGTGGATTACAGGTGGATTTACACCCTGACAATGTAGTATTTACGCTTGATACCTGACAAATAATAAAATGCAAACAGGAGTGTTTGGTACGTGAGTCTGCATGAATTTCCCTGCCAGTTGTATTTGTACACGAGCCCGGGTCATATACATTCTGACATAAATATTTATGGCTAAGAGTGCAAATGGCTGACAATGGACCCGTATGGTATCGGCAGAGGGGCTTTAAAACCTTCCTCCAGATCTTTACTGAGGAGGTGGAGCAAAAAAGATGACTCCAACCGGAGTGAAAAAGAAGAGAAAAACGAGAGGGGGGGAAAATGAAGGAGAGGAAGAGGAGGATGATGAAGAAAAAAAGTTGAGGAAAAAAACGAGGAGGAAGGAAGACGAGACGAAGGTAGGGATAGAGTGAAATGTTGAGAATGCCGTGGCTTGCCATCCCGAGTACCACCACCATATCAACCTCACCAAAGCCCGATACCACCACCATTTCCCCCCGGGTTGAAGCAGACGCACGCGCTCTTTCGAACCGTTTGCCTCGTTTGAAATCGCGTGGAAAACCTCCTGCCCAACTGACCAGACAGTTTCAACATTTACTTCGGTTTTTGCGTTTACCCAGTGACTATCGTATTTCGTTTCGTGGCCGAATTGACTCGGGAAATAAAAATTAGCCTCTCTTAAGTTACGCCTGTTTTTTTATATTTATTTATAACCACTGAATATTTATATTTGTAACACAACGCGTGCACACACGAGTGCGTGAAACACACGTTTATTCTGGAGTTACGAACGAGACGAGGAAGACTCAACGATCCGATTATTATTCAATTTGCGATTCACAGTGCGGTTCGACGAAATTTACAAAATTTGAAATTTTTTTATGAAATTGACAAGTGGGAGGAGCAATTTGCCACTGAAAGCTCGACTCTTGGCGTTTGAAATTTCGATAAATTTTGGGACATCATTCTGTGAGTGATATGGCGCAGCTGATAAGTGTCAAGCTGTCGAGATTCGACGGCTCGCCATGGGGATTTCGTCTGCAGGGCGGCAAGGACTTTGGCACCCCCTTAATTGTCCAGAAGGTGAGTCATCGATGTTCATTTCCCTCGGCCCAGAAATAAATTCCAATGACGAAATATGATAGGGAGGACTCGGTTGAGCGTTTACGGTAAACAAAATTGATCTTCCCGCCTGACCGGGGACTAGGAATGCCCGAGGAAATGTCTCGAGTGGTGTTACAGAGCCCCCGGCCCCCCCTCTGCACATCGGGATTCTAAAAAACAATTACGTAACAACAAATACGAACGCCAAATTTCACGCGCATCGACAGAAATCGTTGCCAACAACGCTGAAGCGGTGGATTTTCTAAGACGAAATTTGGCATCGAAACGGGACATCCCGAGGAGTAACTCGAGATGGGTTGCCCCGAAATTTCTCTTTTCCTCTCATTTCTCCGTCATAAGGGGCCACTCGTGTTGTTTTTTTTTAATTTCTTATCTCGACAGCTTCCGGAATTTACGGGGGCATCTGTTCGACAGTGTAAAATGGGTAAATAACCGCTAAAATATTGAGGACCATTGGTGTCTCCGATGCGCTCTCCGCTGAGTCACATTTGCGCTAGTCTCGAGGACAAGAAGAGGAACCAGTGAAGCGGAACCTGCGTTTTCCCGCGTCCAAGACGCTCAATACCTCTTTTTTCAGGAACCAGAGCGATATCGAGTGGGGGGTTATAGAGACGCGGCGTCACTGGTAATCCGAGGCAAATTATTTGGGTGTTCTATTTCGAGAAGGTGCCTTTGCGAAACCACACGATGCTTCAGAAACTACTCAACGGCGAGGCGAATCTGCCCGATGTATTGCCTCTTTTTCCCTCAATCCGCAATTCAATGCGAAAATCATTTTTACACCCAGAAACTTCGGTTTTCGAATTATATTCAAAAAACTATTTTTAAAAATACGTTGGCCATTTTTTCCGTCGATTTTTCAACTCAAAAATTTTTTTTATCTCGACATGATCAGGGGACGATGGGGCAAAATGGACACTTTACTTTTTTTCAATTGCTAATGAGTTATTGAATTGTTAATGAAATTGTATCATTTTTTTTATAAAAAGGGCAATTCTTCCCCCTTGGGATGAGCCTAGACTGAGCTCAATTGATAAATATATTTATGAGTTATGAATATTTAAAAAAAAGTGAAGTGTCAATTTTACATTTTTTTTTTTATTTCGTGAATTGTAATGGCTTTGGTTCATACAAAAATATTAATTTTCAGGTCATAAGATATTTGTAAACTTTTGCTTAAATTAATTTTCTAATTTCCTATGATCTAAAATAATTAAAATGAACATGAAAGGAACAACAATATCAAAATGAAAGTTTTTCCCCGGGGTAAACCTCCCTAGGAACCTACCAGCGTTATATTTCGCATAAATTTTCCTATAATATTTGATGCATTAGGTTGAAAGCCGCCACCGCATCCGCTGATTATTTCTGTCGATGGAGCCGCGCAGGTTCGAAGCGCAAAAATACGAGGAAAAAAAATATGCCACTCGTTCATGGTATTTTTATGTTATGCGAGGATTATCGATAGGACTGGGGTCTTTTCGAGTAGCTGAGGCTTTTCACAGACTCGCACACACACACGCGTGAGTGACGTTTGGTCGACGATAGCAGCGGCAAGTTGGTTATTATCGGCACCGGACAAGGCCTCATCCACGTATAAATATTGCATTGCAATGCGATCGTGCGAAACTCAGTCACATCGCGATAACGTAGGCATTTTTATGGTTTTGGCGTATGTAAAATTTCGCAGTGACCGGAAAACCATACAGACTGAGAGAGCCACCTCTCCAAGATATTATTTTTCCCCCGCGTTTCAGTGGAATTCGCTTATCGCTTGAGAAAAAAATTCCTCATTTCAAATTCTTTGTTTAGGTCTGTTGATTCTGTCTTATTCCCCTTGGTAATGAAGTGGACTCGGTTCCACGTGGATTGGGACGGAGATATCGCTGCAATCGTCACGCTCATGTGGCCCTGATGTATCTGTTTATGATGATGGCGATATTTTTTCTCTCCTATCGCTGGGCTTTGTCGAGAGGCAAATTGCGCTTTCCCGTGCATTAAATGGGAGAGACAGCTCATGCGGATTTCTGCTGAATATCGGTCTAAACCACCCGGAACAAATTTCTATGTGATACTTGGTTGCAACAGCCAATGATCGTGTCTACGGTTGACCACAAGGGTATACACAACGTCGTCCTACGATCGCTATCGCTTTTGATATTTTATGCGCACCATCTCTAACGACAATGCCATACTCGCAACAATTTCCATAGTATTTCGATTTAACCTTTTGTTGTTGTGAGTTCCGGGAGGTTTGGTTTGGCTCTTTTGAGGGCGATATATTATGCGACTTTGAATTTTGAATTTGGAATTCGCTGTGAGCATTTCCAAATTCCACATTGAGAAAATTCCCAAGGAGCATTTCCCTGAATTCACGAAATTCACAAAACCACTTCATCCCTCTCGCGCGGAAAATTAAAAGCGAATCCTCAAAACTTTTAGAAAATAATAAAGGAAAACTCAATTATAAATTGAAATTTATTAAATTTAATTTAATTTGGAATAAGTCAATTGTTAATATTACTCACCAATTTTTTTATTTTAAAAATAACCATCAATTTAACTTTCAAACTTCGAATTATTTTATCAAACAATAATTGAGAAATTAAATGACCAATTATTATATTAATTTTCAAATTTCAATTACGATAAATAAATTTAAATTACTATAAGCTGCAATTTCACATAATCTTACTAAAAGTAATGATTGATGCCGATCTATGATTATAACTATAATTCAATTTCGTTTCACGTCTGGCCTCATAATTCCGTCAATCTCCTCACCTCGATAATTATAAAATAAAAATTGAGAGAGACAGCGGCAAAATCAAGTATTCATGGAATGACATTTGATTGTAAGTGGAAGCCACAGTCTCATGGGTGACAACGAGTGTCACATGTCCTCCTCCCGAAGTACCTCAGATTCGATAATCACCAGGTGATAATATATTTTCACCCGATGCATGTTTACCATTGGGTAACAGTGTAAATGACACAACCATTCAAATCCCCCGGTAGATTTACCGCTGCCAAGATGATGATCGTGATGTCTTGACCGCGTCATAGATTGGATTTTATCTCTCAACTTGAAAATACACGTGGGTGTTATTCAGAGCTAGGCATTGGCGCGCCTATCAACGGGTTTTAACGACGGCGCAATGAATGGCCAAGGATCACGAATACGCAATGAGGAACTTGCATTAATTTTTTCCATTTTCTCATCTCACATTTCGGCTTTAAATAATTCATTTTTCATTCGTGAACGTTATAAATATTGCTTGTTCGTTAATAATTGATTTTTGAAAGTTGGAGATTCCAAAGGCGTTGAAGTGCCTAGTGACGTCATAAGGCTCGTCGACCGCCGGACCAATCGCAGAGTGGCTCGAGCCAACCTAACCCAATCTTCACGTGCGCCTTGTCCAATGCATGACCGCAACTCCTCTCTCCTCATATTCGACTAACGGAGCACTACCCAGCATTATTTACGCCACTTCGTGGCGTCAGGACCGAAATAATGGGTTTCAAAAACGAATGATTTTTGATTGATTGTCACGGAAAATAATATACTTGAGTTGAGTATAAAATATACTTGATTCAAGTATATTATTCTTGATTCGAGTATATAATAGGGGACGGGGGGGGGGGGGAAAATGGACACTTTTGACTTTTTTTGAAATGTTCATGACTTGTTGAATTATTCATGAAATGGAATAATTATATTTTTCAATAGAAAGAGCAATGATTCCTCTTTGTGACGAGCTTAGACTGAGCGCAATTGATAAATCTGTTCCTGAGTTATGAATATTTTTAAAAAAGTCAAAAGTGTCCATTTTACCCCATCCTCCCCTATACTTGAATTATAATTGAGTAAAAATATAATTGATTCAAGTATATTTTATACCCAATTCAACATTTTTTTCCGTGATATGTTAAAATATTTGGGCAATATTTTTTCGTAATTCTTTTCGCTCAACTAAACGAGACTACAAGACGGCTGCGGCCGCAAGGGTGGAAGGGCTGGCACATTGAAGGGTTCTAGGCCCAGGGGGAACGCAACACACTATCAAACTAACTTGTGACTTGAAAAAGAACATTTACCGACCCTGAAGACAGCGCCAAATGAATGATGAATAATAAAAAAATAAAAAGAAATATTATAAAATATCTAGGCAATATTTCTCCTTAATTCTTTTCGCTTAGCTGTCCGTGGGTTGTGTATAATGGGTGAATTCCCTACTGGTGGTACGGCTTGCGCACGGCACTCGCGGCCGTTGGAATGTCATCCGAATTTATTCGATGAAAATAAGAAAAAAATATGTATTTTGCCGTTGTCACTGTTAATAACTCGACCTCTGTGTCCCCTTTGGATTGAGGGACGCGTTCACACCTACGAATTTTCAACGATCACTGTGTCAGGGTCAGGTGACAAAATTATTTTGTATTTTTGGATGACGCTAGAGCAGTGTAAATAGTTTTGTCATTTGCCTCCGGATTCTTTTCGGTTAAGTTGCTCCTCCGGGTGGGGGAGTCATCTGTAATGACTTCCGGGTTAAATGCGGTTGAGTGTTTTCGAGCGGTGGGATGGGATATTTTTTTATTCTCCCACTCTGTTTTGAATGATAAAACTACTTTTCCCCTCGGAAGATATCCCTAAAGACCAGGAGTATATGAGCCGTCCAAAAGGGATAGCGAGGTAGCAGCTCTCGGGCTCACGTGGATATTAATAGAGATTGAGGCCCGGTTCCGCAGAGCCGCGTGAAGCATACGCCTGTGGTTATAAAAATATACTGCCTTTATTTTGCGTCTTCGGTTGCCCGAATCCAATTTTTATCATTTCATTTTGTTGAAACACAATTGCATGACATTGGAGCTTTCAATTGGAAATAATACAGCGGCCATTGATGAACAGAGAATGATGGGACGAGTATTTATGCGCATTTTTATTACTATTGAGGGAA